AAAAATATATATTTGTATTGATTTCAGAGAGGGACAGAGAGATGCATCAATGATGAGAGAGAATCACTGATTGGCTGCCTCCTGCACACCTCCTATTGGGGATTGAGCCCACAAACCCAGCATGTGCCCTGACCAGGAATCAAACCCTGACCTCCTGGTTCATAAATTGATGCTCAACCACTGAGCTACACTGGCCGGGTCAAGATTTAGATTTTTAGAAGTATTTAAAATGCATAAAATAAGAAATACGTGCCGAAACCGGTTTGGCTCAGTGGATAGAGCGTCCGTCGGCTTGCGGACTGAAAGGTCCCAGGTTCGATTCAGGTCAAGGGCATGTACCTGGGTTGCGGGCACATCCCCAGTAGGGGATGTGCAGGAGGCAGCTGATCGATGTTTCTCTCTCATCGATGTTTCTAACTCTCTATCTCTCTCCTTTCCTCTCTGTAAAAAAATCAATAAAATATATTTAAAAAAAGAGAAATACGTGTTAAAATAAGTTTTTTGTTTTTCATTTTTAATTTTTTCCAGTTTGTCACTGTATTTAGTGGTTAGATTGATATTCAAATCCAATATTTCTTATGTTTTTGTAATCGCAATGGTAAACTCTTATAAGAAGCTACACTGAAACATGTTTTCAGGAGCAAGTCCCCAGTGCAGCAGTGCTGAAATATGAGCGCAACTGATGGTGAGGGTGAGGGGAGGACTCTGGAAACCTTCTTCATGCCTATAATTATTTTTACTACAGACCACACATCATAGCACCAGGCTTCATAAAACCGAAAGGTCTCATTCTCCTGCCAACATAAGCAGTGGCTGGTGTCCCAGATCCTGGCCTGACTTATGTTCACTACCTCTCAGGACTTCCATCATGGGGAAAGAATGTGAAGTTTCAAATTATTTTTCTTATTACCATTGTTATTGATAGTTCCTTTGGCGCTGAGTTTGGGCAGGGTGTTTTTTGTTTTTTAAATGGGAGTACTGAGCAGTAATCTAGGAAAATCAATACTGAACCTAGGAGCTCGATGATTCCTTTGGTTCTAGTCCCTCTAGTGGCCATCATGAGGTAGTGCTGGAGACTGTGTCCAAGCACAGGCTTCCCATAGTGACTTAAAGGTAACTGTTATTTAATGGAACTCTGAAGCATAATCCAGGGTAAGAATATCAGAGTTTGCAAAGATCTCACAGGCGATCCAGGACTTTGTTACCCCAAGTGTGGTCCCTAGGTCAACAGGGACTGCACCTTGGAGGGGGGGGGGGATAAGAGGTGGGGAGACTTGTCAGAAATGCAGAATCTCAGACCTCACCCAGACATCCTGAAGCAGAAGCTGCATCTGAACCAGATCACCAGGTAATTCGTGTGCACCTTTAAGTTTGAGATTCATTACTCTGGTCTGGTATCTTCCTTTACAAATCAAGGAATTGTAAATAAGACAAATGACACGTGTTGTTTTTCACCAAGGAACCAGTAAAGGGCTGATACAGAAATCAGGGTTCCCAATGGCACTGCCAAGTGAATTTTCTAATATGCCGAACTTCTGGCCAGATAATCTGATGCAGCATTTTTTTTTTAATGCATTTTATTCACTATGGGTTTAGGAAGCAGATACACCAAAGTTCAAATCCTAGCTTTTCCACTGGCACCTAGTAGGGGCTCAATAATGGTGGTTATCCTACTTCCTGTTGTAACTATTGTTTTTTAAACAAACTTATTTTTTCAGAGCAGTTTTAGGTTCACAGCAAAACTGAGCACAGAGTTCTCCTATACCCCCAGTCCCACACATACCCACTCCCTCCCCTCTATCAATATCCCCACACCACATTATCCCCGGCGGGATGACTAGCACTTATTATTGCACTTAACACTTCAAAGTAATATCTCAACAGCCTTTAAAGAACCACACATTCTATCGTGTCTGACTTATGACTGCTCAGACATATCCTGCTCTGGTCTCAGAACGCTGGTCTGCTCCGGTTGCCAGGGAGGGGTTCATTGGGCTGCTTTACAAACGGACAGGCTGCAGGGGAGGGTCAAGTCCTGCCCGACCCCGTTTTCTTTCCCCCAGATCAGAGGCAGGAACCGAGCAGTGGGTTCTGAGCGGACGTCGGGTTCGTAGCTGGGCCGGAACCGAGGCCTTGGATCAGTTCCCAGGATCCCTGAGCAGGGAGCGAGCCAGCATGTGGGATGTTAGGGCGAGGGGTGGCAGGCAGTGTCTGGAACGTGGGCTTAGCTCCTTGGAAGCTCGGTTCCGATGAGCCGCACAGGAAAGCTGCCGGTTCTGTTTGCACGACAGACACAGGGCAAGAGAAGGGAAGGAAAGCCAGAGGCGGGGCGCGCGGT